ACGTAATCAGTTAAATGAAAAAATAAATAAATAAATAAATAAATAAATAAGAAGTTGAATATGCACTGCTTAACAGCTTACAGGGAGAATTCTATAAATTGTGCTACAAAGTGACACAAGAGGAGTTTTACTGAGGATGAATGCTGTGGTAACACCTGAACCTCTGTTAAGTTATTTTTCAACGGATAAATTATTCCTATGTTGCAGAGCTTATATTTGCTCTGTTCAGTCTGTGTTGCTTATCTTTTCCTCGCCTCGGTTTATCGATCGGGATTTCAAAACAGTCCTTCACTTATCCCATCGGGGAATTGACAGGAAAGGATATGAGTTCTTTTTTCACTCGCTCTTTTTCTTACTTTGAACTGATATGAATTTCCCCAGTTACAGCCTTAATTTTTCTTGACGCTTGTTTTGAAATATCTTTTCGGGGCTTGCTGGTTTCGAGTTGCTACTTTCCAAACGCTTACTAATGTGTTAGTTGGGCCGGCATAAAACTTTACAAAATTAATCATCAGCCTTCAAAAAGGAAACCATCTTGATGAATTGCAAACTATGTCAAAACAGAATAATATATTGCCTTTAGAGAGGAAATAAGGCCATTGTCAAATCAGCAGCTGCCTGTCGTTTGGTATCCGCTATTTTTGCATTGTTTCTTGGTATCAATGTTATATTTGAGGTCACTACCTACGAACGGACTGTCGCTACTCTCTAGCTCAACCAATCGTGAATTTTAGCCGCGTTGTTTTTGGATGTCTTAAAGAACATTGTTATCCGAAAAAAAAAAAATACAAAATCTCGGTGGATTTCTACCATTTTGAAATTAGGAATCCACGAAGGACACAACGCTTGATTTGAAAATAAATATTTGATTAGATTTTAAAGCCTCAATAATATAAATAGTACTATAGGCTATTATAATTAGCTGCAAACCTCTTCCCGCACACACACCAGATGCCCATGGCGGAACTTCAGGCAGGCCAGAGCCGATATTTGTCACAACAGGACTCAGCAATGGTCTGGAACGCACATATGTTATTGTAGTTATCACTTGTCTTTCGTTGCAAGAAACAGTGGAACGGGCTGGAATCTTTCCTCGATCCGCGCTGCCAAGAGAGGAAGTAATCTCCATTGCCCTCTTTGCTTTTGAATAAGTCTCTCCTAAACCTGAACTTAGTTATATGCTTTTCCTTCTTTTTTGCAAGCGTCAACGATCATACATTAAGCGCCATTCACCAATTAAGAATGTTTTTTTGCGAATTAAGATCTTAATAAAGGTGGAAAGGGCTGTTCCTTTCCGTAAACACCAAGAATCGCGTCAATGAGGTATGTCTTCACAGTTTTTAAAGGTTTCCTTTTCAATATTATTTGTGACTGACAAACAAGGTAAAAAATCGATTTCAACTTAGTAATTAGTTTAATTAACAATAACTGCTGAGCATTCATCCATCAATTTCTCGATAGTTTGTTTTTGGCCATCAAATATGAAATACTTCTATAAAATGGAATGAAGCACAACGACGTTCTCGATTATAGCAATGGCTTACGAGAAGTAAATAACAGATCAGAATGACGTCATTAATCCACGCCTTAACACCAAATTAGGAACTTTGTTTTTCTAGCCAAGGGGCGATTAAATTGATTTAAAACACGTACATTTATTATTTGTGATGAAACAGAGCCATTGCTTCGCCTTCGCAAGAGACAAAAGTCATAAACCCACGCGCCCATACTACATTTAACGTCTCCTCCAATGACAAATAACCAAGTAAGAGAGATAATGAGACACCCAGCTTTTACGTTCATATGAATGTAAGACTGTTGATTGGCTTGCGTAAGGAATAAGTACTGACGTGATAAATCCACCAAAACACTTGTAGCCAATCAAAACTGTACGTGCGTTACGTTACGTGTTATGCTATACTGCGCTATGCAGTGCACGTGTTTTGTTGTGTTAGGCTGTGCTGTGCTGTGCTGTGCTGTGCTGCGCTGTGCTGCGCTGCGATGCGCTGCGCTGTGCTGTGCTGTGTTGTGTGTTGTGTTGCGCTGTGCTGTGCTGTGCTGTGTTGTGTTGTGTTGTGTTGTGTTGTGTTGTGTTGTGTTGTGTTGTGTTGTGTTGTGTTGTGTTGTGTTGTGTTGTGTTGTGTTGTGTTGTGTATGTGAATGTGTTGTGTAGTGTAGGTGTTGTGTTGTGTTGTGATGAGGACGTAATTTCGAGTAAATTCTAAATTTTACAAACCGTGCATCTGGCGTGAACTCACATGTAGCGACAAACAAAAGCTCAATATACATAAGAAGATAGTTTTAGCATAACTTCCTTTACTTGCATTACTTTGATATTCTTTTCACAATTTATCATAGAATTCCAACTTTAATAAAGGAAAATGTGTTTTCAGCACCCCACACCCCCCCCCCCCCCACATTTCCTTCTCACTAGTCCATAGTAACTTCACTGTTCCTTGGCCATATCAAATTGTAATGACGACATACACAGGTTACTCTCGATGTTTTTATATCAGCTGGCCAAATTGCCAAATTAATTGCACACAGCTCGAGAGAGGAGGAGGAAGAGATTAACTCCGAGCAACTTGCCTGACAGCAAGAGAGCTGAGTAGAAATAAATCTGACCCTTCTGCTTCTGGATACCGGGGATCTGTGGTATAACTTTAACAAATCCACTCAGGGCTGCACTTCAAACGAAGTTTATTAATCTTCTTGATGTAACATATTTCGAAAACCACGTGCAATGGAATTATAGTTGCAGTGTCGCTCAGTCTTGTTGAATTAATACTAACTTTAACTAGATTATTGCTTTAGCTGATTAAATGGCCAATACAATGCTGAATACTTAAGGATATGCTGAGACATATTAAAGCCCGGTCCACACCACGTAGGAGGAATTTGAAAACACAGCTTTATTTCTACTGTTAGGACTATCGTCCACACTAATCCGTCACGAGAACGGAGCTTTTCGAAAACGCTCTGCAAACCGGAATGAGGAATTTTCCTCAAACACCGACCCAAAATGACCGGCGATTGTCAGTTGTGTTTTCAAATTGCTCAAGAGTAGAGTGGACGGAAAAAAAATTCACCCGTTTTCAGAGTTTTAAAAAACGCCGTTTACAAATTTTTCCGGTGTAGTGTGGACAACGCCTAAAATTGCCAACTTTAGTTCGTTACAGCAGCAATTTGAAAACGTCGGCTTTCCGCTTTTGTGTGGACGGAAAACATTTTGAAAACGAAGCTTTTCCAAAACGACGACGCCACGATTATCGCATGATTTCCGCGACCGAGTTTTCCTCCAACACAAATCCAAAATGACCGGTGATTGTTGCGTTTTTAAATACCTCCGGCGTAGTGTGAACGGAAACATCTGATGCGTTTTCAGAGTGAAACCTCCATTTTCAAATCCCTCCGGCGTTGTGTCGAAGCGGCCTAACTATATACGCTCTCTAAATACTCTTTCCTATAAACAATAGAAAATTATCAAATACTCTACACTCAAGGCTAAAAAAGCTATATACATGTAAAAATTTAAGCAGCTTAACAAGTGATTGGCTACACAGGCGAAAAGTATGTATATAGAAAATAACGATCAATATATCAACAGTACTAATATTCTGAGCCTAAACATATATCGGCCACTGGCTCATACCGGCGATAGCTCTTTCCTAGGTAAGGATGGAAATACAGTTACACACATATAAGAGAGATGTAAACTCTTTATATAGAAATGGTTTGATTAACGAGTCGCTGTTAATAAGAAATAGAGGGTTTGTTATGCATTCAAGAAAATGACGTTGTTTTTAAATTAGCTTGTAAGAAACACAGGAAAAACTGTTAAAGGAATAGTTTCAAGGTTCTGCGCATGTGCAAACAATGGTACGTTTTCCCTTGCTTAGCCTTACAAAACTACATGTAACTCAGTAATTACAAGCTATCATTTGTGCAAGCAGAATGACTACTGCCCAAATTTTACGACAGATATTGACCGATTTATAAAGAAGATGTTAATTTTAACTACAATCAGCTACAAAAGTGTTGAGACACTTTTGCACATCTGTACTTCTCTTGGTCAAAAAAACCCCACCTTTTTCGTCAATAGCTGCCCCCACTCCCCAATCAATGTTGCAACGGGCTTTGGCGACACTGTCACGTGGTTACAACACTGATTGGGGGAAGGGGGCGAAATATGAGGAGTGTAAGGAAGGGGGAAACTTCGTTTTCGGGCAGTGTCTCAACTACTTTTGTCAATTACTGTAGTATTGAACATCTAAGTTATTAGTCGGGACGAAGGATTAATTCTGGACACAAGCACCAATTATCTACTAGCATCTGATTGGTCAACGTACAAGAGAATTGAGTGGAGCGTGCAGTAACTCTTATGAGAAATTACACCTCCATCGCCGCAATTTTCCGACTGAGGCTCTGTCCACGCTACGCCGGTGAAATATGAAAACGCAAGATTACTTCTGCGGTTACGCCTTCCGTCCACACTAATCTGCCACGAAAACGGAGCTTTTGGGAAACGCTCTTCAAACCGGAGGAATTTGAAAACGCCGGCTTTGCGTTTAAGTGTGGAGGGAAAGCATTTTGAAAACCGAGCTTTTCGTAAACAATAACGTCACGACAATCCTGTGGTTTCGCTGACCGAAATTTCCTTAAACACAAATCCAAGATGACCGGTGATTGTTGCGTTTTCAAATTTCTTTGGCGTAGTAGTGTGGACGGAAAGGCATTTGATTTGATGTGTTTTCGGAGTTAAAAAAAGCTGTTTTAAAATTTCTCCGGTGTAGTGTGGACAGGGCCTCTTAGTGCGAAATTTTCAAAGGGAATTTCTTGGAAAACTGTTCATAACAAGCTCGTTTTCGATTGTCTCATAAACAATGGAGTCAAATGGGCTCACGTTATAGCTTGCACATGCGCCGAGCCGTGAGGCTATCCTTTAAAAACATACGGTAAAATCAAACTTGTATTCAAGTCGCCAATTGACTTGATTAGCTTCATTGGTCTTCATCTTGGGCATGCGTAGGAGCTGTACCAAATAACATCCGGGCATCACGCATCATTAATTTACTATTGG